GTCGGTCGAACCTATATCTATCTCACTTACGTGCAGCTCTGGGATCTGCGTGCTCCCCCTATCTACCAGTGGGGGTGGCGAAAATGGTGGCGTTGAAACCGTCTCGCCGAGTGCTTTCCGAAAATGTATCGTTTCGTTCGTGCATCCTCTTCGTCGTGGCGCAATCGAGCTTTGAAAATCAGTCCAGGGGGCGTGCTTTCTTGTGTCGTATACGGTAGGTTGGTGCTCTCTGACGGAAGAGGGAGAGTTCTATTTCTACGCATCTGCGGGGATCTGGAAACAGAACACTCTCAAACCTGTGACCACGGAAAGGCGTGCGAGTCAATCGAACACAAAAACGCACGGTCGAAGGTGTGTTCACCGGAAGGGCTATTCATGTGAACATAGCCAACGGCAACATCAACCACAACACCGACAAGAAGGGGACAGCAGCAACAGCAACACACAGCAAGCGCGAACTCACTTGGTGGAAAAGCTGGGGTCCTGCCTCGCCTTCTTGGCGATCTGCGCCTCTTCGGACACATCGTAGAAACCGGCGGGGGCGTTCCTCTGGAAGGGGATCTCCTTGCCGTAGTCGATGTACTTGCGGCGCTTGCGGTTCGCCGTCTGCGCGCGAAAAAAAAAAAAGTTGACACCCAATAGCTCATCAAAATGGTGAAATACAATGTTTTGGGGTGATGTCTTGTTTTGTTGTTGGTGTTTGATGTTTTTCACTTTTGGGGACGCAAATCAAAAACTTGATTGCCAAAAATTTCATCATCAGGAAAAAATTACACGCATTCAAAGAGAGGACAACGGTCCGAGATATAACCACAGCAGTCGTTCGGTAGTCGGCAGGGGGAAGGGGGGGAGGATGAAAGATCGTCGGGATAACCTCGACCCAAACGGAAACAACGTAACCTATCCCGCAGAAATGCGCTTATTGGCCGCGAACACGACCGCACAGAAGGGGTGCCGTGTGGTGGTCCAGAGGAGCTGGGAGGGGGGGGGGGTCAGCCCCAACGAAGCCGGGACAATTCCAAGTCGGGGCTTCAAGTGGCCTACCCAGGCAGGCAGCACAGATGCGCCCAAACACTGCTACACTAGGAGGACAATGATGGCAAGGACAGCACCAGCCACGCAGGCGGCACGAACAGCAGCAAGCAGCAAGCAGCACAGGCCAGCAACGGAACGGCGGCAATCGGTACGCGGTGTATACAACAACAACAACAACAACAACAACAACAACAACAACAACAACAACAACAACAACAACAACAACAACAACAACACGCTACGCAAACACAGTTGATTTTCCACCAAACACATGTTCGACATGAAGAATCGATACCACCATATACGGATGGTCTATATATTTACATACCTTCTCGATACAGCAGCCGCAACAACAGCAGCAGCAGCAGCAGCAGCAGCAGCAACAACAACACACAATCACAAGAAACATACCTTCTCGATGCCGGCAGCCTTGAGCTCACGGCGTTTCTGAAGAGTGGCGAGGCGCTTGGCTTCCTCGAGCTGCTTCTCCCGGGCCTTACGCTTGGCCTTCTTGCCTCGGGTGTTGGCCAGACGAGCTCTGACATTGGTTTTACGGTTGTACAAATAGTGCTGATGATGACGACGCCGACATGTCACCATCACAACGACATAATGTAGCTTGATATACGACGGCGACACCATTACGCGCATGGCGAAGCCGATAACCGAATGGCGCCCTGGAGTTTTTTCATTCTGCGTCGGTCATGAGACGTAGACGGCACGCCATCGTACCAATGACGCTATCATACCAACAACGCTAGTGCAGTACATATAACGTGAAGACACCTTCGACGATGGTCATGATGGTACAGAATACTGTTTAGTAGCGTTGAATAGGACGGAGGACCACATGACATGATCACAACCCCATAGCTTGATACGGACGATGGCAAGTAGGTTGTGCTCATGACGATGTCCACAACCCGACAATGATACAAACCCTGTTGACGGTTACGACGATGACGTCAGGCCGTGAGCAGAACAGCAAAGGGCGGTCGACGATAACCCGCCATGACGACAGCTACGGACATGCCAAAACTGCTTGCCCTGGACTCCTAGGAAATACCGTAGCAGCTGGTGCACCACCTTGCGACAAACGCCACAGCAGCATCAGCAGCAGCACCAGCAACAACAACAAAGACCACAGCAGCACCAGAACCAGCAAAACAAGAGCAAAAGCAACACCACCAGCACCACTTTCACCACCATCACCATCACCAGCAACAACAACAACATTGCCAGCAACAACACCAACAATACTCCCAGCAGCAGACGGCGTGAGATGGAATTTCCAACAAAATACCTGGCCTCTGAGAGCATCTCCTTCTCGTCTTCGTCCATGTCGATGGGATCGGGTCTCGCCGGCTTCGTCTCCGGGTGTGGGTCGATCTCCCCCGGACGCAAACGCCTGCAAATACATGAGGCCAAAAGCAAAGCAGCACATATTTTTAACCAAATCATACTTCCATACCGTTGCTTCATTCACATTGTGCTCGGTCAAGAAGCAGCGACTGCTGAATGAGGCCGCGTAGTCGTCTGGACGCAAACACCTGCATCCATGACGCAAGAAAAAACAACGGACATCAAAAATTGCCAACTAGATAGATGCCGCCGTTGTCTTCCCCACTTTGTGCTCGGTCAAGAAGCAGCGACAACAGAGGCCGCGTCAAACATACCAGACCGGTCCCGTTGTGCGAGGCCGGCCGTTGAGTTGTGTTCGGGTGCGCGACACCGTACGGGCCGGCCAAATCGCGTCGTGAAAAACTCCAGCTGCTGTAGTTAGAGTGCGATTAGGATCACGCCACCAATTTGTTCCCTTTCGGTGCTGCACACGTAGGTTCACACCCTCAACAACTTCGCCGTGCTGTGCCTGTGGCTCGGAGTTTCGCACTCTCCGTGGCCGCTGGCAACAGCGCCGACGGCCATGGTGTATTTTTTTCTCCGCTCTCACCTACAGAGGACCAATACTGTATGACCCTAGTTTTTTCCTTGAGCTCTCACCTAGGATACGCAGAGCCACCCCGACACATATTTCATTGTCAGCTCTCACCTACTTCATGGGATCATCCAACACCCAATTAGTAGAAAACACGCATTCGAAAGACTACATACACGTTCGGCATATTTTCTGCTCTCTCACCAACACAACCGGCCATCCGACCTCACTGTTTTCTCAGTGCAGAACCGTCCGCACTTTTCGTTTTTCCCTTCCCTTTTCATTTCGGTCAGCTCTCCTCACCAAAAAACCAGACCATCCCACAAAGTTTTCTCAGCTCTAATCCGCACAGATTCAGCCGACATTCCTTATTTTTTCCCTTCCCTTTCATTTTGGTCAGCTCCTTTCTCACCTTGGGTCATCGGCCATCGCCGCCCCGCCCTCCCCCCCCGCGGCTCCGCCGGAATCCTGGGCCATGTCCAGCAGCCGCTCGTAGTGCTGAAGACACTGAGCGGCCGTGCGTCCCACGATGGGGGCGATCGTCCTCCACTGGTTGGGCATGAGCTTGGCCATATGGAGCAGCTTCTCCTCCTCCTCGCGGTTCCACTCAGTCTTCTTGATGGACGGGTCCAGCCACTCGTACCTGTTTGCGTGGTGATCACCGTGGATGGGATATATAAGTAGTTGGTACGTGGAATTAACCGCGGGGGTTGCAAATTGTGGTGCCACCCCGTCGTCTTGGTGGAAGGGTCCAGCCATTCGCACCTGTGATGTTGGTTGTGTCGTGGTGATTTACCGTGGTTGGGACTTTCGTGGATTCACCGTGGGTGTTACTGATTGTAGAATTGTGGTCGTCCGCACATCCATCTAGAGGCACTAGAAACGACGACAAGAACAACAGCAACTGCAATAGGAATAGCAGCAGCAGCAGCAGCAGCAGCACCGACCACCACAACAGCACCAATAACAACACCGACAACCGACAACAACAGCAAGAGCAATAGCAACAACAACAACAACAACAACAACAACAACAACAACAACAACAACAAACTACAACGACATCAACGACATGTCTCACCATCGGGCCTTGCACTGCTTCGGGGACTTCCTCGAGAGCAGCGAGGCCACCCGAGCCCACTGGTTCTTCCCGTACTTCATGACGGCGGCCTTGAGGATCTCATCCTCCGTGTTCTTCCACACCCCGCCCTTGATCATGATGCGCACCATGTTTGCAGTCGCTTGTTTTTGCCGCCTCTAGGAAAGCAGCGAAGCGCCGGTACAACAATAGTTGTCGCTTTTGCGTGTCGGTGTCCTCTCCCTTGGAAAGGAGTGAGGCAGTCACGGCCACCTGAAAAGAGAAAAGAGAAAACGAAAAAGCCCATGCTTCTTACACGTTTTGCTTCTTGGTCGCGGGCACCTTCGATTCTTAGTCGCAGGCACCTTTTGCTTCTTAGTCGCAGGCACCTTTTGCGTCTTAGTCGCAGGCACCTTTTGCTTCTTGGTCGCAGGCACCTTTTGCTTCTTAGTCGCACGCACATGTTGCTTCTTAGTCCAGGCATCTTTGCTTTTGAGTCGCGGGTGCTGCTTGTTTATGAATCGCGGGCGTTTTTTTGCTCCTTAGTCGCAGGCGCTCTATGTTTACGAATCGCGGGCGTTTCTTGCTTCTTAGTCGCGGGCATTGAATAGCTGCGATTTACCGTAGGTGACATGACACAAGATACGGCACCCCCTGGACCGATTTTTCAAAGCTCGACTACTCCACGAAGAAGGGGTGTGAAAATCTCAATCGATGCGCCTTCGGAAAGATCTCGACGACGTGGTTCCAACACCGTGATTTTCGGCACCGCCAACCTCAGCAACCGAGCTTTGTAAATCGGTTCAGGGGGTGCGATACCTTGTGTCACCCATCGCATCCTGGGCTCTCATCTATGGAGAGAGATGAACTCGTTTTGTGGTATATTAATATAAAATAAGGGGGGGGGGGGGGNGGGGGGGGCATTGGCCGTTGTCATATCTGGTTGTAGGGTAGGGAAAGAAGCAAGAGAGGAGGACAACAGCAGGGAGATGGAACCACGAAAACAGACGAAGAGCAGAGCAGACCCCGCGTAGCACACACCCAACTGGAAGAACGTCGCTTATTTTATGCTCCAGCGGATTCGATACTAAAGGAAAAGGTTGTTCTCGTCCATCGTGCCCATCACTCCCCCAACCATGGTGCTGTTTATCGACAAACTCAGTCAGCGATACAGCAGTACAGTCTCGGGCTTATCAATACAACCGACCTTTTCGCTGCCAGGTCGGATATCAAACGTTGTGTCCCCCCCCCCCCCCCCCC